TGCACAGCACCTTTGCCAGACTTCGCCACCGCTGCACAGCACCCTGCACAGCACCCTGCACAGCACCTTTGCCAGACTTCGCCACCGCAGTCTGGACAGCACCCTGCACAGCACCCTGCACAGCACCTTTGCCAGACTTCGCCACTGCAGTCTGAACAGCACCCTGAACAGCACCCTGCACAGCACCTTGGCCAGACTTCGCCACCGCAGTCTGGACAGCACCCTGCACAGCACCCTGCACAGCACCTTTGCCAGACTTCGCCACCGCAGTCTGGACAGCACGCTGCACAGCACCCTGCACAGCACCTTTGCCAGACTTCGCCACCGCAGTCTGGACAGCACCCTGCACAGCACCCAGGCTCAAAAGTTCGCCACCGAAGACCCCACCTTTGAGAAGTAAGAACCCCTATAGCTTGCCAGCTATCTGGGGAAAAAGGAGATGTTTACCGCTTGCAAAGAAAGGTAACATGTCCTGCCTGAAGGGTTGCGGGCCTGCAGCCAAAGGAATCACAAATAAGCGCAGCTGCCAGCAGAAATGGCTGTGATTGTGGAAGTGCCGAATCCAATTCCCAACCAGACATCAGCAGCAATGCTTCTCTATTTCCAACCATGATTAAACATCACTTAGATACCCTGCAAAATCATCTTTTGGCAGGAAAGTATATTAATGTATATATTATGTATATTACATAAGATCCTTCCGTTTGTGTCAAACATCTACCCATTAAGACACCCAACAAAGTTTCATTCATCCAGGTGCTGCCCAAGAAGCATCGTAGTCTCCCTTGAATGATCTACTGTGGGCCCTGGGTGAAGCCGTTCAACTTTAGATTGAAAAGTGGACTGACCCTCGTAACCAACATGGCGTGACAGAATCACCCCCACAAAATCTTCTGGCAAAGCGACAAATTGCAGCTCTCCAACTGTTGTGTACTTGGATCTGTCAACCAGAGACAAGCGTATAACGCCAAGTAAAAGCAACACGGATATAATCTTCAAAAATCTGACATAGTAGATGATATTATAAGCTCAGCGCAGCTATGACTCATTTACTGACGATTTAAAGCTAAAACATCCACTTTCCACAGCCAGCCTGGCCCTGTAGCCCTGTCACCGTTTTCCACGCCTCCGTTGATCCTGTTGGCACAGAACCCCACGAGGGTTTCGCTGTACGGGTCTCAACACAGGGGCATAGATTGCGAAAGCGCCAGTCGGGGTGAGGTTTTTTTTCCGTCAGGCCTGATTTTGTCCAGCGATCATCCCACACCCCGTCCGGCAGAGGTGTTCCGGCAATCCCCTTTTGGGGAAGACTGTTCAAACAAAGCAATTCTTGGTGGCGTCCAGACTCTGCAATGCTTGCTAGTTGGGTGATCCTCTGAAGTTTGTCCCCCAAAACTCTCCAAAACTTGCATTTTAAGGATATAGCTAACCTCCACCCAGAACACCAATGTGGTTTGCTTGGTATATTATACTGTATGTAAATGTAAGTATGTATAAATGCACATATATGTATCGTACACATATCAAACTTATAGCAAAAAACACTGATTGATCTACCAAACCAAGCTTTCCCTAGTCTGAACATGTCTGAACGAACTCCTGCTGTTGACAATACCCTTTGGAGTTCGGAGCCCATGACAAATTCAGATCATGACTTGGTTCCATCATCTGAATATGTTTGTGGCATGTACACCTTCAATATCAACCAATGTCAATGTTTCTCTTTGCCTATGATGCATCGGATGAAATCGTCTAAATTCATCTAAATTCAAGGTATATAATATAATGTAATATATTATATTATATTATGTTATATTATATTATATTATATATTATATTATATTATATTATCATTATAATTATATATATATGCAGTTATATGAAGATGTAATGGACATTATATTAAATTGTGTAGGTGTGCAAATAGATTTGACACATGGAGCATCATGGAGCGTCTGGGCGTCCAATGAAAAGAATAGGTGGTCCCCTCCAGGTCCAATTGCGGGAAAAAAACGCTTGGACTTGGAGAGTGACTGAGAAAATGAAGTGAGACATTCCTAGCCTCCATGGAAACCGGATCAGGTCCCCAAACAGATGGGGAAAATCATGGACATGTTGGGGTACTTCAAGGCTTCAAGAATAGTGGCTTACATGAAAAACAACGCTGTTGATCCTGGCTGTGCAAAATCTAAACTAGAACAACAAATTGGATCATCTGGGATTGTCGATGATTGAATGACCAAACCACCGGTAACATGGAGCAAGCCCCAAACGCCATTTCTCTCGCTTGAAGTAAAGATAGTAAAGCCATTTCGTGGCATGAGTCCCCCATCCCCGAACATCATTTATTCTGCTGGGTCATTGTGAGTGTGAGGTCCTTATTCTGCTGTATTTTAGCTATCGCTGGTTGGAAAAGATGCGCAGAAACGTGCCACGCTTGCCATGGAAACTATCTATTCAGCCGCCACGCCGCGGTGAAAAACCGCCGCTGTCTTCACGGACTCAAGGTGTAACCGTCTTGAAGCAACGGTCCTGGCTTCGTGATCCCAACCAGCTGCGGAACAGGTCGGTTTTTCCGAGTTTGTTGTTGGACCACCAAAAAAAGCAAAACAAGGCCAAACTAAGAACAGAAATGGTAGTTGCAAAGGACCAAAATATAGATGGATGAAATCAACCTGAACAAATAAATCCGCATTTGAAGGGCGCATCTTGCGCAAGAAACACCAGTTCTTGGCCCCGTACTCAAGCAAAGAAAACCGGCATCGCCGAAGTTTCTGCACTTGTGGATTTCTCGGTTCAAATTCAATTCTTGCTGGCTAGGCCCGTACTATTTCCATTAACATGTACTTTGCCTGGATGTCTACAACCTTTAGCTAGTCGCCCAGTCAACAACGATAAACAACACCATTCTGGTCCTTGCAAGGCAGAGACCATCATGTCAATCTTGTGTGCCAGATTCTGTTTGGCCTCGGACTGGCCATACATCCCATAGATTCCCATAGCACTGGCGCTCAAAAAACACAGAAAGCTGGGCGTATATACCCTCTGGTAATTTAACATAGCTATTGAAAATGGCCATTTATAGTGAGTTTTCCCAATAAAAATGGTGATTTTCCATAGCCATGTTAGTTTACCAGAGGGTAGTGAAGATGGTGGATATGAATATGTTATTGGATCGGTAAAGATAACCAAACCACAACTGGGGAGAGACCACTGCGTAGCTATGTCTCAAACATGAGGTGCAAATGGAACGACACAATTCGTCTTTGCAAGAACTAAGGATCCCCAAAATGGGGATCATGAATCATCATACAAAAAAGGTAGATTGACCCTATTGATTGGAGACATGAAAGGCCATCTCATGCAAACCCAAGAAACACACATACATATATATATATATATAGATATATGTGATACTGCAGTGATACACTATTTTTCCTTCATATTCATCGCAACCGATTTCCTTGTATTTCCTCTTTCCATCTCTTTACTATAGAAACATGAGAAATATGGGGAGTTATATAGTCAAACGGGATCGGCATCGCAAGGAAAATTCACTGGAAAAAATTGCATTCCCCTTGAATGCACCGAGATTTCAAATGCCCCGGGTTCAAATCCACACATTGTACTGCATTCTTATTGAAGTTGTTACTGTACTTTCATCCATTTACCCTCCGGTATTCAAACATAGCAACTGGAAATCCCCTCCATAAATGGAGGTTTAGCTCGCTGAACAAAAGTCAAGAAACTCATGGGACATTTTCCAGCCACGATTCATGCATCCTTCGGGCTACAGTCTCCATAGAGTCACTTTGGGCCGGGGATAGCCATGAAAACCAAGGGACAGAACTGTGCACCAAGATCTGTAAGTGCTTCTCTGCCTTGGACATGCTGGTAACACGGGAGGTGTGGGGCATAATCACCACAAAGGACGGGGATATGATAGGGATATATACTGGTTATAATGATGATAATAGCACAAAATGGGATATCATGATTATAATACCAGCTGGGACATATGATGGATATAATGGAATATCGTGATTTTATAAACCTGGCTAAATAACCAAAAAAAACACCATTCTCAAGAGTTGGGACATTCGGGGCTGGTTACACAGCTTATAGAAACGGGGCTGACCTTTTTCAACACAGCAACCGCAATCGTGGCTACATAGTTCTCACCATAATTATATAAAGTCACTGAAATTGTGTCTTGACTGTCCCAACACGTATGTGGCCATTGGATATGTCCGTTTAGGCCCCTGAAGAACCCATTGAGCTTTGCTGAAGGGTCAAACAAACTCAGCCACACCTACCCACCACCAGTGCTGTCTTCTTGATCCTTTGAAAGCAGTGACCACCTGAATCCTTCCCTGTTCTTCGATCCGTCATGGGAAATCACAAATCACGGTGCAAATCCAGAAAATTGAAACATCTGACATCATCTGACCAGCAAAATTGATCCTCCACTTCCTGTACCCCGCAACTGGCTGAATCTACACAGCATAACCGGTTTGTGAAGTATATCCCATTCCAATGAGACTGGGGGTGCCATCTTCTTGTAGATCTCCATTGCATACTTTTTTTTTTAAATATCATTAAGAATATATAGGTATATCTGTCTATATGATGATTATAAAGATATCTACAATCAACATACAGTGAATTTGAGTGTATCTAAATAAATAAGTATATATATATATTATCTGCCATGCACAATTTTCCACTAAGTTCGTCGGATTTTTTGGCCGAGGCACGTTGATCCAAAGCGCAAGGTCTTCCTTCTCTGTGAGATAAACCCCTCCTTGATGGCAGGTTGCTAGGTAAATTCATAGGTGGATTTGCACCCCAGAGTCACATTTCTACCTTGAACCCCCCTGCTGACAGAGGGTTTTAATGGGATCAAACCAATATCAGGTGGACTAGAAAATTACACTCAAGGTCTGCTATTCAAATTTTGTTGGAAAATGCAAGGGGGGCACTCGCATTGTTTTTTGTTTTTAAGCTATAACCATGCCAGTATAGACCTCTTCGAATTCACGCTTCAGTTTTTCTAGAGCCAGGGGTGCCTAGAGGAGGGCATATCAAACACCCAGAAAATCCGTATCGTACGACTCATGGATCTTTAGAAGTGTCCTCTAGAGCAGGGATCAGAAAGTTTATACATACCCAAAATATATGAGGATCTAGGAACTGGTCTCCGGGGGGTCAACATACCTGCTATCTGAAAAGGAGGAATCTGGTAGGATGTTTTCAAGCTGATTTGGGGAAATGGCAGAGTTTTAAGGTAGACATGTACCTCTGGGCCAAAAAAGGATTCACTCCAACCACGCTACTCCTCACCAATTCCTGGCAAAGGTATTCCACCTGGCTGCTGTTGAGAAACAGGTAAATTATACCGTTACCCTCTGGATAGGGAACATGGCCCTGCCAAAAATCACCCATGTCCAGAAATCTGGTGGGTAGATGAAATAGCAATGGCATTCCACACTGTGTGTGCGAGTCGGTCTGCCCCACATGGGAGGACCTTTCGAAGCCCCTTTCCAGGTCTGATCTCTTGCAGCCGGGTCTGAAATCAAGTCAAGTCCATACAGTACAGGGTCGCCTGCCCTGCATGGAACTCTTGAGGTTGAACTGCTCCTTTTTCAGCACCAAGGAGGAAGTCGTCAAATTGCACACCCTCTCCACCAACCCCGACCAACAAGGCCTCAACATCTCAAAGATTTCTTGCGATTTTGCTCCGTCTTCGCACAATTACTGCAATTCCCCAGCCCAAAAAAACAACACACACACACACACACCGAAACTCGCCGCAAATGAGCCCCGAAGCTCCGCTAATCCCCTAATCAAGAAATGGATAGAAATGGTTGATAGACATTTTATAGAGTACTGAGGTACTCCCATTGAAACCTTTGATAGATTTCAGGTCTCTGAATTGTGATACTGCAGCAACATATACGTTTTTATTTAACATGGTAGCAACAAACTCGAATGTCTACTGGGAAAGTCATCCATAAGTTGATATGTTTTTTTTGTTTGTTTGTCCTGTTAGATTTAACAGTCGGTAACTGGCTGAGGGGTCCGCAACATTACTCAGCAAGGTGGATTGCCCATATAATTTACATCAAGATCATTTTTCATTTGTTTTGTTCAGTGAATTTACATTTGTCAGTTAACTTCCGTACTCATGTTTACAATGTTCATATACATATATATATATAATTGCATATAACTTGCATAAAACTTACTTGCATACAACTTCCATATAACTTATATACATTAATATCAATTGAGTGGTCACCCAGTCACTCCCAGGAACCACAAGTCAGTCACGCCAAGCATCGGCCGGAAAGCTCCTTGGACTCAAACATCCTTAGACAAGGCAGTAAACTCGCATGGACATATGGAAAAATAACTGCAATTGTAGAATATGTCATGTGAGTTTTTCTTGCGGGAAACCATATTGTTGAAATATTTCTTGAGGGACACCATGTTTTTAAGCTTGCTATTCCCAATCGATTTTTGGCGGAGCAAATCCTATTCTCATGACGCTGAACTTCTAATGGGATATGGATATTGATGCATATCGGCTGTCAAAGTCGAAGATCCCAAACAACACAATGTTTGGTCATTAAATTGTTTACCATTCCATTTCTGTACAGTACCCAAGTTTTACCCATAACAATATGTAAAAAACAGGACACATGCTGCATGTAATCCGAAAAAAATATATACGTGTGCCCCAATCATTGACAACGTAGATTCTAACTAGTTGTTTTAATCTGTTGCTTATATTGCTACCTACGAGTACCAGTTAAACCCAGTTGTTTCTAACCATTTGCGTGCGGCTGGTAATTATATCCCCAAGCCACTCGGTAAAATCATCCCAAGTTTCATGGGTACAAACTGAGGGGCCAAATTACGGTATCTCGGCAAGACAGTATGTACATGCGTACATATCTGTATAATATATATATATAGATATCATCTATATAATTATACATACTTGCACCATAAACCTGGAAGGCTTGCCGCTTTAAAGTGGGATGATTCCCCATTCCCCCTTCCAAAAAGCCAGGCTTGGTCAGCCAGTGAGGTCGCAACCGCTGTGCCCATGTTCTATTGATCAAATCCCCATGTTGTAATAGGTTAAACCATCATCATCATCATCATGGTTAAAATTACCATCTAAACATCATGTTTGGGGTTTAGGGTTTAGGGCTATGAAAAATCGCAATCTCTTCATGGTAAATCGGCATCTTAGAAGGGCTAAACCGAACCTAGCATCAGCTTCTTGGATTCCAAGGCAGCCTTCTCAGTGCTGCCCAAACCTCCTGGGGAAAAAAGGGGGATTCAACAAAGCCATCTTGGGGATTCCACGCCTGAACATGGGAATTTATGTTTGATTTACATATGCATATATAATCAGAATATATGCATGTATATATATATAACACATACATACGACAATGAATCATCTTAGATACCATGCAGCTACTGAGGGTCTAGATATACCTTAGATTCTTTATATATATATAATCTATAATATATATATAATAATAATATATATATAATAATATATATATATATAATATAATATAATATATATAATATAATATATTAATATATATAATACAATATAAAATGATATAATATAATATAAAATAATATAATATAATACAATACAATATAATATATATATATAATATAAATTAATATAATGTATATATAGGTACCACACTAACGTATATCCAATGCGGGCGCCTTTCCTCTGCTGTGGTTGGTACAACCCCACCCGGCTTGCTTAATGATACAACAAGTTTATAAATTCCAATCATGGGTTGTCACAATCACCACTAAAATGTCACTAAATCCTAGTAAATCCCATTCAAAACCACTATATAAATCCAACCAAATCCCACTAAATCACCACACACCAGTCGTTGGATGAACTGGTTTCCTTCACCCACGGGATAATCGTGTGTTTCTCATTCTGCCAGCTCGCTCATTCCAGGTGCATTTATGACAAAGAACACCCAAATTGAAGACTTGACTACAAGGAGATCGTTGAATGCAAATTGGATGTGAGCAATGTTTGTTACAGATACCAATGATCTCTCTACATGATTCTACGCCCCAATCGTTTCCCATTTTAGCGTCCCAAGGGGACACGTTGGTGTCCCTGTTGTCCCCCCGATTTGGGGCGCTCCTGGACTCAATGGATGAGTTGTGCCCATGGCAAAGTAATCCTTGTCCGACAAACTTTGGCAACGTTGACATGGAACGGTCATGAATCGTAACGGTCGTGATTTTTGTGCCATTGGATTGATAAACATTGATACTCAAACTGGTATAATAGACTACACTGGTATAACAGATTATCAGAATGACGTGAATGAAATAGATGTCAAAAATTGATAAACATTGATCATCTGATTGATTTATTCTTCTTTCAAAGGCAAAGGAAAGAGTATCATCAATCCAGAGAGTATATCAAGCCAGCAATCAACGATGCAACCAAATTCGAGCAGAAACTTGGACAAGGAAGGATAGTGACATAGCAGATCTACCCTGCATAGTCACATGTCTATCACTACTGAAGTAGCTGGAAGCCGAACAAAGCAATAACTTGACATATGGTTCTAGTATGGATCCAAGTGTTGCATCCTGTGAGTCTCTGATGTGGTCAAGGTTGATCCACACCAAAGCACCAGCATGTCGGTACGTTTACTATACTGTGGGATACCACAGTCCGACAGAAAGTCATGGTTTCAACCCGTTGCGAGATGATGACTGGTTATAAGATGTTATAAGGTGGCCAGAATATCTTACCCCTTAAAGCCTTATTCAATGAACTTACAGTACCCTGAACTTCCAAAGTACCCAGTTAACCTTGCACGTGCTTGAAAGTACATGATTCACTGAAAGTATCCTTTTTACTTGACCCTAAAAATGATATAGAATGGATATGAATTGATATATATATACATACCCCAGTTTAACCCCTAAGATCTCCGCCAACCGCTCCAGCATCAGCACAAGCCTCCCTGAAGCAAGAACCTTTATACATATACCATGGAGAAACTAAAAGGATAAACACAATATATCATAAGTTACCTTGGTCCCTGACACATCATAACCATTGACTTCAGCTTTGGCCCTGAGTGCCCTTTCTCGCGCTTTCCGGAGAGACTCTTCCCCCGGATCAGTAGTAGTGTTGGCTAGGAACCACTGGCTACTGAATAACTTAACACTTGAAATTTGAAGAATCATGTTTAAAAGTTTTTTGGTGACTCCAAAATCACGGGTTTTTCACGCTGAAATCACGCTTGAGTTTTTAAGGACATTTCAGAATTTTGAATTTGAATGTGAACATCGCATTTTCCACGACACACTCGCACAGTTTAATTGCACCTGAATTGAAACACAGTGGTCTTCCCAACCCCTATTCTTGGAAATCTACAGGGAAAAAAGGTGTATACCTGCCATTAGCAATCTCATCTTTTATGTGTGTCTTGGGAGGTTCAATATTTGCCCAATAATAATATGCAGCCGACACACAAAATTGTGCGTTGCATTTTTTCATCTAAGTAAGTATGGGCATCTTGAGCCTTCATCAATCCTGCATGCCCTGATTCACGACAGCTTCCAATGTATCTAGCCCATATCGGACCATATGTTAGCCAAGTAAAACATCAATGGTGTGAAAGGTTCAAGTTAAACCGGTACTTTGTTAAAGTATCCAGTTAAACTTGCACGCGGAAGTTCTGGGGTAGGGTAAACGACACAGTTATCTTATTTATTTGATAAAGGTATTTAAGAATTTGTTTATTTGTAGCGGCATGTTTATCAATTAAATTTTGATGCTACAGCGACTCTCCGAACGTGCCTGCCAGCCATGTTCATCCCGCACATCAGCACTGGCTTAGATCTGTAATGATCTGTACTTAGCCCTGTTCTTGCAGGTTCTTCCAGCAAAAATTAGATTTTACATAAAACATGATAAAACCCATTCAACCAGCCGCTTAGTTGGCAACTAAATTGTAGCTATAATTGTCCTCACTCAATGGCTAGAATTTGGGGTATGGATCAATATACATCCCATTTTCAGACACACCCAAATATCACATTGTTGTTTACACCTGAAACATCACTATTCTATTGCATTGTGTTGGCTGATTAAATGCCCCATTTCAGACACACTATATACATATATATATATATACATACATATAATCATACATATATATATATACATATATTTATATGTATATATATATATATGCAATTATATACATACATATTCTTGTATACATATACGTATATATATATATATACATATATATATATAATATATAATATACATATGTGTTTGCCGGTGACTGTAGCTAGTAAACTTGGATCTAGAGTGAGTCAAAACCATCAGAAAACAACACACATATTTGATTACTACAATTTAATATGAAATTATGATGTAGATTTTTCCTATATGTTCCTATGTAGATAGCTCCCGTATTGGATCCTAAAAGCAGGTTTCTTGAGACATGGAGGATCCCCAGTCGTCACCATGGTTTTCAATACTAAGTCATGGTCATCCATGACAACTGATGCAAGGGGGTACCCCTATGGCTTAGAAAACATATAGGTCCATTGATTGCTATATTCCCATATACAATCATTGACAATCATCACATTATGTCCCATAAATTTCTCGAACCACTGCAGACGCTTCCTATTGTTACTATCATCAAGCAACATGTAGCATCATTATTACTATCACATTACCATTATTACTTCCTATTGTTACTATATATCTTCCTATTCCTACCATTGTTACTATCCCCCATGATTGGTGTTCCAACTATTGTTACTATCTATCAAGGTCCCTGTTATATGTTCCTATCCAAATATATTATGTGTTACGTATGTCCAATTCTTACTATCTTCCCATTGTTCACAGTACATGTTCCTTCCTAACTAGAATATATTACTAATTATAGAAATATATATATATACTGTATATATTGTTAATAACTATACTATACTACTATTGTTAACCATATGTTACTAACTCTATCTATTCCCACCTCCCCCAGTCGCACCAGTCGCACCAAGGCACCCCTTGCAGCTCGCCATCCATCTCCATCAAGGCCTTGGTCAGAAGTCGCTCCACTTCACCTCAACACGGCGACGGCGAACGTGTTTTGTCGCAGAAAAAAATCACCCAACAATGTGGGAAACATTGGGAAACTATTGGGAATAACTGAATGGTTTTATATAGTATGTTTTATAGTTTTAGCATAGCACATTTATGTCAAAATCGAGGTACGGGTCAACATATGTCTAAATTGGGGCAAGCTTGCAAGATCTTGATATCTTGGAGGCCATGCACAACTCTATCCGACAAGGCCCGCGATCCCATCTAGGGCTTCAAGCAACACTCGGTGGGCGTCTTGCCTAAGCCCTTCAAGTTGAAGCTGCTATTCCTGAGGTGCGGCTGATGAGATCAGCAGAACGTTTTTTGGTCATCGCTCGAAGCATTTCTGGTGGATTCTTTGGGAAGAAAATCGTGTCCATGAGAAAAACAAAAGAGAACAAAAAATACAGAAAATAATGGGTTTTATCATCCAAATCTATTCAAAAAATCATGGGGGTTTCATTTGGGTGAAACCTGTAATTTTTGTCCCTTTAAACCAATTCCAGGATCGTAATTTTCAGGTAACATCAACTGCCGCCTTTTGAACCCCGGAAATAAAAGGACCTTTGAGGTGGCCAGGAGTCTGTGCACAGAGCCAGTTTCCAACTGCCACCTGAATCGCGGGGGGCCAGGGCCATCTAGGCTCCAAGCAGAAACTCCCGAAGAATTCCATATGATTGTGTTTACCAATGGATCTAATCTTGATTCCCTACTGTTTGGGCAAATCTCTAGTATGTTGAGGTTGTTTCCATCCAAGGTTGTGCTTGATACTCAGTTTCTCCCCTCATCTCGAGATACCCTGCACCCTTGTTTTGTGATGGGTATCAGGGTATCTACTACATTCTCCCTTTACGGCAAAATTGTGACAGATGGGAGTTCCACTTCTGCAGTCTACTTGGTAATCTACACACTATTGCGTGGCGAAACATCTAAGTTTCTATGTGTGAACGCCCGACCCATTTTTTGTGAAATTTGAGGACCCAACGTGTCCCTTTCTTGTTGGTGAAATTGCAATTTTGGCAATCCAATGCGTTACTTGTGTAAAGGAACATAGAATCTTCAATTGTGTTTAAATCCAAATGTGGAGCGTGACATGTACATCTTCTGTGACTTCACTTCCATGTTTATTGTTATCCATTCACCTCCTCATGTGCATTGCTGAAACTCTCCATGTTTTCCCAGTTAAATCTCCATGTTTCGAAGTTTTTGAAATTCCTTTTTTTTCTGGATAGTTTTTGCACCCAAAAATCATTCTTCATCAACTTCATCATGTGATTTTTTTCCCTGGAATTTTCCAGGAAACGCCTCCGGAACCACCTCGGTGGAGCCACGGCGATAGGTCAAAGGTGGTGCTTCGGAATGGCCTGGATCCTGGGATGCCATGGCTGCCATGGGGATCTGGTTGTGGATGCCACGAATGGGGAACGGTGATTTTATGTGATTTTAGGTGATTTTTAGTGATTTTATTGGATTTTTATGTGGAGTTTATGTGATTTTATGTGATTTTATGTGATTTTTTCCTATAGTGAATAGTGATTTGCATGTGAATAGTGATTGATCATTTGATAAAGCTATGATTAGTAATGAATGATTACTGGTAGTGATAAATGATGACCAGTAATCATTTGACTAGTGATGAAAAGTGATTCCAACAATTCGTACTGGTTAGTGATGACGGATGGTAGTGCTTAGCAAAATGGTGAGTGGGTATAAGCATGGTGATCACATGCATCGATGGGGTTTCTAGAACTCATTCCCCCACTCCATGCGTTTAGCACCAGTAAGTTCCAACAGTTATTAAACTATCTCCTCAATGGAGGTCCTAGAATATCATGGGAATACAACCATGATGGGATATTCATGGAGTCACAATGGGGATATCGTGGAATCATCTCAGGTAGTTGCAGGCTATATGTGGTTGTATGGTGGCTATGGGAGAGACTCCTATTAAGTAGCAGTTAGGTTAATTAACACAGTTGGTATCACTTATTAATTAAACATGCCCAAATTCAACATATCCTATATATATATATAAATTGATGTTTATACCTGGGAAAATCATCGACACCAATGGGTGATTTTCCAGCAAGCCATGTTTGATTACCTGAGGGTAATATAATGTTTAGGAGAGGTTATAATGACAGAAACATGAATTATACGACCCAGTTCGGATATGGTGTAGCCACCTGCCTGTTTGGGTGAATTATGTTCTTACAGGAATAGTAGTTAGGACAAGGTGCCAAACCCTGCAGCTACGTTGTTTGCTTTCAAAACTTAATGTAGCCCATTAACATCAACAAAGAAAGGGATATTTCATCAGCATGAAAGCGAGTTATGTGTGAGGATCACTGGGGATAATATCATTATTTTTATCTGAAGGATCTGGATATTATTATTATACAGTAAATGATCTGGGATATTATTACCCAGTATGATGACATTATTACCCAGGATATTATTATCATTATTACAATATTATTATGTTACTGGGTATCTGGATATCTGGATGCCGATCATTTTTGACTGGTGGCTGGTGGTTGTGAGAGAATATTTGGATACCCAGGAACAATGCCAAACCATCCAACTCTGCTACTCTGCTCTGCTTGTTGCTTTATAAACCCAATTAATCAATTAACTATTAATGATAGCTATTATAAACCCAATTAACTATTATTTAACACCAATTCATCACTGTTAAACCTCCATTTGATGGCCTTACAGCCAACTTATATAAGTATTATAAGTATGGGGCACCAACTTGGAACTAGTTGGCAAGCAATGATTCTAACCGATGCGTAAATGGAAAAAAACAAACAAGAATCGAGGAAGTATGGGTACTTGAATGACTTGGATTTGGACCCCACTTCACAACTAGATTAACTAGATTCTAGGTCAAATGATAAAGCAGGTTATTAGGGGGAATATCGGAATATCCAATAAAGAGCTGGATTGCACCACGATTCTTAACCACTAACCCTTATGCACTCCCAAGAAGTTATACTCGGTGGATTGAACAGTGACTTGGGATAACACTACTATAACGGGAATAGAATGATAGAACCTATCTACAAAACAACTGATCTTCATGGGTAAAAACACGTAATCTGCTCTTTGCGGTATATGTTCAAAGAACAAATATCGATTAATTATCTGGTCCATTTCTGCGATTGATACAGTTCACCCACGTAAAAAAAAAGAAAAACAATTGGATTGAACCAGGGATAGTGGATAGAGCACAATATACCCTCTGGTAATTTAACGTAGCTATTGAAAATGGCCATAGAAATAGTGAGTATTCCCATCAAAAATGGTGGATCTTTCCATAGCTACGTTAAATTACCAGAGGGTAAGATTCTTTATGGGTTCCAGTTCCAGATTCTACGAGGGATGGTCTGAAATCTCCATCTACAAGGTGGTGCCAAAAATCGCTCGAAAAAAATCTGATATAACTAATGCGAATCACTACGGTTTAAGGTAATTATGGTAAATAAATATGCAAATTCCTAATTAAACACACTATATTCATATATTATATGTTAATATCTGTAGTTCATGTAGGAAAGTTCCCTGTAAACCAACGATTTCCACGCAAGCAATCGCCTTCTCAACACTCAGAGGCATCAACCAGGTTCCCACCGACGGCCTTGCCACGACCAATCAACGGCTCAGCTTAACTACCCTGTGGGATTTTAGTAAATGCAACGGATAATGGGAAATCAACAAGCCCCATGATGGCCCCATGTTCGTTGGTTGCATCCTATTCAAAAATCCTAAAAGTACAATCAATTGCATAGGCACAATCCAGTTGTGGGCAAAGTCCTCGAATTCACAAACCTGAAACGAACCACTTTTGGGACGACTACCCTCATTGACAATCATTTGATATCAGCTCATTGTAAGGTCGAGGTATTTTACCCAGCAGCATATCCAACAGGTCAAATAAGCTACGTGGGTAAAACGTTTTTACTGGACATCAACTGTATACTAAAATATACTGAATATGAAGGTCAATTTCAGATACCTATATATACTATCCTATACTAAGCTATACTAACTTAGAGACCTTTTACATCCTTTTTCGGTGTGCACACGGCACGGCCTAAGGTCTCCCAGAATTCGGCCCAACATCTGGTGACCAGACCTAGCCCTCTGAAAAATGATGGACTTCGGTTGGGATGATGACATTCCCAATGGAAAAATAATATCGTTCCCAATATATACATTATATACATATCATATATATATATACGTATATATATATATATATATATAGAGTCTATAGAGATTCTTTGGAATACATAGGAGAAACATCTACGGAAGAGTGGGACTGGCTCAGATTTACAACAACACGCCCATGGCCTGCTGTCTTAGCCACATGGCATGTAGAAAATAGATGAAACTAGATCTTTTCATGGGTTGCTGCTTAGATACTTAGATACAGAACTTTTGCTTTTACAGAGGTATGGCAAATCATAGCAATTCCCGGGTTTACATGGCAAACGTTGGACACCCAACCAAACAAAACAACTGAACCCTTCTATTCCATTACCCATTTAGTGGCCAAACAAATATTCACACAGGAACCTCCCCAAGCAACGTTGACCACATCCTATTTGTGGTTCCCACTTGACCCATACTATGTTGGCCCCCTATGGATGGCTAAACTGGCTTTGAACAAGGGACTACGCTTCGATCGCTTAGAAACAAACACAAGTTGCAAGTCTGGAGCTTTCCTTGCAGCAATATTTAAATAGAGGTTTCCGAAAAGGGAGGTACCCCAAAAACCATGATCTAATTTTGGATGATTTTGAGGTACCCTTATTTTAGGAAATCCCCATTTGAGTACATCTCAAGATGGGTGCAATATTACCCAACTCATCCCAATTCCATCTCATGGTTTAAAACTCAATTTTCCCCATGTTGTACCGGCCATGTATGCTAAACCTCACCCCCCCCAATATCCAGCCCAGAGGCCTCAATGCAAAGGGCACATTCATGGTGTCCTGACAAATGCTCAGCATTTGTAAGTGCTTCGTCTGTCTGGTGGTTTCAGCATGCTTACATGGGCCTGGCTCCTCTGGAACGTACTGTAGGGCAAAACTTCAGTCAATGGCAAAAAATGGATATCAGCCTGAAACAACATCAGCAAACTTCAGTCAATCGAAGTACACTTCCTCCATATTTTGGAATCGCAACAGAACCAGAAACCACAAATATATGTTGTCTATCCACCATGATGGATAGAAGGTCTATTCGGTCTTCTGCTCCCTGTCGAAAAGCATGGTATCTGTCTCAAAAAGCATCCTTTCTTGGCACGACCAGGTGTGTGTCTTCTGTCAGATTCGTCTGTGCCTCGCACGGTGTGCCTTGCGTTTCTGGCCCTTTGCGATTTGTCGCTGCTCCAGCCATGCATGCGACCCAACAGGTGGTTCTTGAACCATGGCGCATACCCGGTGCAGTGGAAGTGACGAGTCTGCAGGTGGCACAGGTTGTCCTCACTGTAAGTATTGATCAACATCAACAATGAACAATGTCCCTACCCCAAACCGAACTGCTGCTTAGCAAATATCTTCACACTGGATAATGATAATCCCTAATCTAATAAACCGGGTATCTTTGATGATTAATGGTTTGCATGATCGGTGGTTTCAACCCGTGAAAAACAAGCTGGTCCTCGGGGATGTCCCCTACTGTGTTAAAAAAAAATCCAGAATACAACCATTAAAACGATCGCCAAAAACAACACAACACAACCATCTACGCTTTGTGATGTTTGGGATACCCAGTGATCCAAAGAACAACTAGTAACTAACCCTTCAGAAGTTCGGTCATCTGGGCATATTCCAACTCATTCAAAATCCCAACCCCACCACCAAAAAACAAGTTGTCTTCCAAAAATATGGCTTCCCCCAAAAGAAATCTGGAACATAAGCTTTTCCTTCCAAACAATATGGTTTTCCCCCCAAAAACAACACACATCTATTTACTGGGAGATGGGTCCAGCAAATGGTGAACCCCCAAACCCCCCCATCTGTGTCGTCCCGTGCCGTCCGCCACCGGTCCTCCTCCTCTAGGGCGCTAATGAGATCCCCTTGGCGCACCGAGTTCATGAGCGCTGCGCGCGCTGCGGGGCTGCTGCGCACTTGCTGCACCGGGGCCTCCAAGGGCTGCTGGGTGGCGCGGTAACATGTTGGGACCCTGGAAAATCGATTGGAGATGGGTTGGTATATCATGTTATTGTCATGATTGTTGGTAAAAGTGGAACATGGATATGTAAGTGGATAATGTGAATCTTTGTGTGTGTGGAAATTCATCTACTTTTCTTGCTCAAAGAAAAAAAGTGATTTGGAATCCATATTTTTTGGGAATTGATAATCCCAATATTTTGTTTTTGGGTTTGAATCTAACCCCATCCTTCAAACAAAAACTAGTGATCTCCACCTCTGACTGCGACTCCACGGGTTTGGGGCTTTCCACAGTCACTGCCTGGTCGGCTGCAACGGGTCTACTATGGTTTCATGGTTTCAACCCCCAGAACTGGATAGTGTTCTTTTCATGGAAAGATATGTGAAATTCTCTGCACCACCAGTACACGACTTCATGAAAATGCAGGATGATTAACTGATGTGCTTGCTCATTGGGGATCATCCCGGTTCTATGTTTGAAAATAAACAATTGTTTGAAACCACCGACCTTTTCCCGTATGTTTTCCGTTCACCAAATTCTGGGACCTGCAAGATGGCCAACTATGACAGCTATGAAATTGTAGATATCCAGGATAAATCCAATCGTTAGCCCACAATAGCTTTTTTTAGTTGCCGGCCATCCCGGCCACGGCCACGCCACGGCCACGGGGCCACAGGGCCACAGGGCCACAGGGCCACAGGGCCACAGGGCCACAGGGCCACAGGGCCACAGGGCCACAGGGCCACAGGGCCACAGGGCCACAGGGCCACAGGGCCACAGGGCCACAGGGCCACAGGGCCACACGGCCACACGGCCACCCGGCCACCCGGCCACCCGGCCACAGGGCCACCCGGCCACCCGGCCACCCTGCCACCCGGCCACCCGGCCACGCGGCCATCTCGTCCACGCTTCCACGCACGGCCACGCTTCCACCGGCCACGCCCACCCGCCACGGCACACACCCGGCCACACTGCCACATGGCCATTGCCAACGGCCACACACGGCCACACCCGGCCATCCGGCCACCCGCCAGCCGGCCACCTGTTTCCTGTGTTTTTGATGGAATTACTGTAATTGTTTTGAGCTTCTTAACTTTTTCGAACAACTTGCGATACGCTCCTGCATGGTGCCTGGTGCTATGCTCTTTTCTTTCCCAGGCAGCTTTGCAACATGCTCTTGATGCTATGCGCTGAACCTTTTCAAGCAACTTGCAACGCACTCTTCCTGCTACTCTTTGAACTTCTCAGGCGACTGGCAACACACTCTTGATCCCACACTTTCAACTTTCTCCTGCAACTTACAACACGCTCTTGGTGCTAACCCTTTCGGGCCCTCAATCCCAAATTTCTCAAGCAACTTGCAGGCTCTTGGTGCTACGCGCTTAACTATCTCAAGCAGCATGGCACACGCTCTTGATGCTACGCCCTCGATGTTCTCAAGCAACCACGCAACACGCTCTTGATGTTACTTCTCTCATGCGCTCAACCTTATGGTTGTGGTGGATTTTGACATGGAACACGTATAACCAGGTGTCACTGTTCTAAATCATGTTTGCAAGGAATTAACGTTCATTTTTGCTGCCAATAGCTATTTTACCCCCCAAAAAAAAGAACGCAAGTGAATGCACCTCCGAGATCTTCACTTTCAGCTGAATTTCCACGGTAATGCTACTGGTAGTGATGATGATGATGATGATGGTGGTGGTGATGATGGTGATGTCGATGAGAGATAATAATTATTCAGATGTTTCATTGGCTCTGCAGGGCGCACAGTGCCAAAATTCTTTTTAGGTTTTCAGGGCCCAAGCAGTTTGAGCATCCAACAGTCACAAGCAGGTGTCAACTACCGTGGCTATCTGCCCTTTTAATTTCTATTGATGATATTTACAAGTTTTCTGTGATATGACATTCTGATCGTTTCTTGCCACTTGTTTAAGGTGCCTGGCATCTGAGAGGCTCGCGACTGTTGTCATATTTTGCCTTCTACTATGAAAATAACATTGTGTGTGGGGGGTGGGGTGGGGTGCAGGGTGTGGGGTGGTATAATAACGTCACATACATTTCCACACATATGTGATGCAACATATCTGTACGCTCTCTTGCATTTCATTCACATCTACACTTACGTCTGCTACGCTTCTGTAAACTCTTTGGCACTTCCACACACACGCGTCATGCTACGCTGTAGGTTCTTTTGCGCTTCCACACATGCGTCATGCTACGCTGTAGGTACTTTTGCACTTCTACACATGCGCCATGCTACGCTGTAGGTTCTTTTCCACGTCCACACATACGTCATGCTACGCTGTAGATTCTCTTGCACTTCCACACATACCTCATGCTACGCTGTAGGTGCTCTTGCACTTCCACACATGTGTCATGCTACGCTGTAGGTACTCTTGCACTTCCACACATACCTCATGCTACGCTGTAGGTGCTCTTGCACTTCCACACATGTGTCATGTTACGCTGTAGGTCCTCTTGCACTTCCGCACATGTGTCATGCTACTACGCTGCTGTAGATTCTCTTGCACTTCCACACATACCTCATGCTACGCTATAGGTACTCTTGCACTTCCACACAGGTGTCATGTTACGCTGCTGTAGGCTCTCTTGCGCTTCCACACATACGTCATGCTACGCTGTAGGTTCTCTTGCACATCTACACATGCGTCATGCTACGCTGTAGGTTCTTTTCCACTTCCACACGTCATGCTACGCTGTAGGTAGTCTTGCACTTCCATACATGTGTCATGCTACGCTGCTGTAGATTCTCTTGCACTTCCACACATACCTCATGCTACGCTGTAGGTAGTCTTGCACCATACATGTGTCATGCCACGCTGCTGTGGATTCTCTTGCACTTCCACACATGTGTAATGCTACTACGCTGCTGTAGATTCTTTTGCACTTCCACACATACGTCATGCTACGCTGTAGGTACTCTTGCACTTCCACACATACCTCATGCTACGCTGTAGGTACTCTTGCACTTCCACACATGTGTCATGCTACGCTGTGGGTACTCTTGCGCTTCTACACATGCGTCATGCTACGCTGCTGTAGGTTTTTTTGTACTTCCACACATGTGCCAGGCTACGCTGTAGGTACTCTTGCACTTCTACACATGCGTCATGCTACGCTGTAGGTTCTGTTGCACTTCCACACATACGTCATGCTACGCTGTAGGTACTCTTGCACTTCCACACATACGTCATGCTACGCTGTAGGTACTCTTGCACTTCTACACATGCGTCATTCTACGCTGCTGTATGTTCTCACCGTATGATGATGATGGTGGTGATGATGATGATGATGTTCATATTGCTGATGATACTAAAGTTTCGTTTTTGAGCCTTTTCAATTCCCCCCTAGAAAATGTTTGAAAAGTGACGACAATCGCGGGCCTCTCAGATGCCCGGCACCTTGTTTAACAAGTTGTTTCCTATTCCATGATGCATCTCGTGTCAAGTGCTTGTCTTCGCCGTCATTTGCTGGTGTACACCTTTTGTTCACTTCATCCATCTCCTCCTCCCGTGAAAGAAATGCTACTGCTGCTGGCTTCCTGTGGCTATCCATGTGATAATGAAGGCGATTGTCAAATAGAGCTTTGACAAAAGAGGCAAGAACTGAACTGCTGAACTGCATGGAGTGATCGTGTTGTCTTAAAGGGGAATGAGTTTATACATGTGGGTAGGAATTAGCACACAAATCGATGTTTCTGGTTGAGACATATATGGTAAATTTGTTCAAGCAATCTTGCGCCACATACGGGACAGCAAAACGCTGCTTGATATTGTTTGAAATCAGCAGTAAGCAAATTACAATCATCTTCTAAAAACGCTCCTCCCCCCCACCGCCACCCACCCACAAATCCCGGCCAACCGGCCATCCGGCCACGGCCACGGCCACCCGGCCACACCCGCCCACCTGCCCACCTAGCCAGGCGGCCATCCGGCCACCTGGCCATCCGGCCATCCGGCCACCCGGCCATCCGGCCACCCGGCCATCCGCCCCATCGCCCCGGCCACAGCCACGGCCACCCGGCCACCCGGCCACGGCCACCCGCGTGGCCGCCCGGCCACGGCCACCCGGCCACGGCCACGGCCATGCACGAAAAAAATCTATCCTCTCGTTAGCCTGGTAAATTAACGTTTTCGCACTATGCGTTCTTTTCGGAGATCTTCAAATTTCATCAAATTTATATATCATTTGGATCTTCTGTGACTTTCTGGCTCTTCTTAGAGTTTGCTGAGCATATGTTCAAAAAATGTTTCCTTATACCTTTTTTCTCTACCTTGATCCAATTCAAACCCCTCAACATATTGGAATTGAACTCCCCAAAAAGGGGGAACTGACAGATTACGAAGGCAAGGCAATTAGATGTGAACAAATATATAGGGTTGTTTGATTTCCTCAAAATTTTCTTGAACCGGCATTGATAATAAAAAAATAAGAATACAATGGTCCATGATCATTATATCCCATCAATTTGGTTTGTTTGTTTCTTTCCACGTTACTTTGCATGTTCTGAACCTTGACAGGCCTTGACCATAAACAACGTAGAAACATTTGATATTTTGTGAGCAATTTCCTACAGTATGTTTTACATCCTGTATGGCACATTTTGTGTATGTTCTTGTTTTTTGGATTTTCTTGCGATTTGTTGGCCGATATACAAATGGATACAAAAACTAGAACCCATACAGCTGCAAAGTATGTCCCCGGAACGGAGTGAAACTGTTTGTTTATCTGATGTTGGATGCTGAAGTTTGGGAAAGGACGCACACATGCAAAAAACATGGGCCATTTGCTCTCTGCCAATCAAACTGTGCAATCGTAAACGTCAAACAATTTCAACGCCAATATAACAAACCAAATCTTTGTATCGTCCAGCAGATGGGCATCATATGGTGAATTGTTAAGGCCCAAGAACTAGAGATGTTGGTCATCTTCAGTTTTAACCGACTGCGTAGCAAGGGTTCCCGTTTCACTCTGGGGGTCTGGGGGTTGAGGGTGTGTTCGTTTGACGTGCATGCCCAACCGTCCGCAACCGTCCGCAACCGTCCGCGTGAGGGCCGTATGGCGGTGCCTATAGTAAGTTTTGCAAAAGGGGTCGCTTTTGGAGGTTTCACAAGTCGTGTTGCTTCGGTTCGCGTGGCAGGCTTTCCACGCTCTGCACTCCACACTTCACACTTCACACTCACACACACTGCACTCTACACTCCACACTTGACACTCCACACTTTACACTCCACACTCCGCACTGTACCCTCCACAGTCCACACTCCACACTTTACACACCACACTTTCCACTTTACTTCCACTCTCCACACTTTACACTTTACACTCTACACACCACACTCTAAACACGGCACTCCCCCCTCCCCACTTTACACTTTACACTCCTCACTTTACACTCCACACTCCACACTCTGCACTCTACACTCCACACTTTACACTCCACACTTTACATTCCACACTTTACACTCTACACTTTACACTTTACACTTTACACTCCACACTCTACACTCTACACTTTGCACTCTACACTTTACACTCTACACTCCACACTTTACACTTTACACTTTACACTCCTCACTCCACACTTTACACTCCACACTCCACACTCTACACTCTACACTTTACACTCTACACTTTACACTCTACACTTCACACTCTACACTCTACACTTTACACTTTGCAATTTACACTCCTCACTCCATACTTTACACTCCACACTTTACACTCCATACTCTACACTTTACGCTCTACACTCCACACTTTGCACTCCACCCTCTTCTGCATTCCGCAGTCTACAGTGCACTGGTACGGTAGCAGGGGAAACATGTAGACTGTTCAAATAACTTGTTTCACCAAAGTGGTCTACGTGACTGCATTCGGGTTCGTGGGCTGCATCTTGTTTGCTCTGCACCCAGCCTTCCAGTGGGTACTTGTATCTTCATTGAGGTTATTTGCATATCTGCATGCGTAATATCCCCAAATAGTATCCCAGTTCAAGGATTCAACGATGGTAAAGCATGGTAAACTATTCTTGCCCACTAGGTTGTTCGATGGCTACTGCAAAATTAAGCCCAAACCCCAAGTTCTCTTGGACAAAAACATGGTGAACACACCATATATATACATATATATATATACATATATATATATACATCTATATATATATACATATATATACATATATATATACATATATATATATACATATATATACATATATATATATACATATATATATATATACATATATATATACATATATATATATATATATATACATATATATATACACACATATATATATACATATATATATATATACATATACATGTATACATATATATATACAAGTAAATACATATATATATGTATATATATATACAAATAATATATATATATATATATCATATATATATATACACATAAATTTGACATAAATCAAAAAACACACACATATAATATATATATATATATATGTATCTTTTAGATGGGCAAGTCAAGTCCCATAAAACCACCATTTTTGGATGCTTCGACCAGCTCCACAACCCATCGGTTCCAACACCTTCTCCGCTGGCGCTTCCGGCTTCACTTGAGGACGGTTTTCCTGCACAGAAGGGGAGGTCCCCAAACAGGCGGATGGAACTCCATGTTTTTGCTTACGGCCCGAAAACCGGCCTAGTGTTTTTGCGTTTTTTGGCGTTGTGATATGTTGGGGGGGTGGGGTGAAGAGGGGCAATAGCGTCCTGATAGGATCAGCTAGAGCGTCATCCCAGGCTGCCAGCACTAGTTTTCCTCTGTCGGCCAATAGCCAGTCAGTGCAGCACCTAGAACCAATTACGAGCTATACCTCTATATCTCTCTCGAGCCTTGACAGCGCATATAAGCTGTGCTCAGTACTCATGCTATGTCCTGATAAGGTGAAGACACTTCATGTGACCTTGCACACGTCTTTTGTTCTTCGGTTAACACTTCATCTTACGTTGCATACGTCTTTTGTTCTTCGGTGAACACACTTCATGTTACGTTGCACACGTCTTTTGTTTTTCGGTGAACTTTTGTCATGATCATGACATATGCCAAGGCTTGGCAATGGCGGTGCAATCATAGGAATGCAGATGTCTGCGACATCACTGCCAGGACTGTCCGCAAGTTGGTGTGAAGAGAAAAGAAGTGCTGGCGCTGTGACGAAAAACAAAACCATCCAAAAAACGTAACGTTATTTGGAGGTGTGCTATACATGCATTTTTGAACTCCCACCGCAATAATAACAAGTTTTGTCATAAATCCCGATGGAAATGAAGTACCAAAAGAAACCACCATGAGTGTAAACATGTGGCAACAAGACGAA